AGTAACTGTACAGTAGTCTGAGTAACTATGCAGCAGTCAGAGTAACTGTGCAGTACTGAGATGACTTCCTCCACAGTGCCAGCAGAGACTGTGGGGTTTGATGGGATTGTGCATCAACACCTACTCTGACAACAGGAACTCAATACTCTGACACCGTCAACCCAGCAGACGTCTTCAGATCCAGACACTGAGGGGACAGCAGTGGAAACTACAGGGAACGGGCTCTTCGACAGACTGGACGCTGCAGCAGCTCCAGCTCTCCGCTTATAGCCCCGCACCGGACAGAGTGGGACAGGGGTCTGCTGCTCCCTGTCCTGTCTTCAGGACAGTGAGCGATCCACTTCAGCTGAACCAATGGGCAAAGTGCTGCAGGAGCGGACCGGCGCCCCCCTGTGACAGACGCCCTGCTAGTGAGCTCTGGGAGTCAAGCCGCAGAGAGACACACGTGGAGCATGCAGTCGCCCAAGCCGAGCCCCGCCCCTGCTCCCACCCCTCTGCACTTTTGCCACTCTCGAAGAGTCACCCCAGCTTCATGCCCCTGTCTGGGATTCTCCTGCACCCCCCCCTCCCCCAGTACTGCCCCGGTCAGCCTGCCAGGACACGGCGTGAGGACACAGTCCGCTCCGCGCCGCGCGGTGACAACGCAGCTCCGCACATCTGTTCCCTTACTGCCTGCAGATGTGAGCTGCGCTTGGAACCCAGCCCACAGCTGGGCTAAAACGAAGACAGATGTTCAAACGTTCTTGCGTGAAACATGGAACCAGAAACGGCACCACAGCCAGGAGCTGTGTGGTGTTCTGACCCGAGGTGCGGAAATGTCGCCCCTCTTTGGAGTCCGGACCGGGTGTCTGACATCAGCTCGCGCCGGAAGGGACAGGACAGCCCGTTCCCTTCGGAGACTGGAGCTCTGCTGTCGCAGTGGGGGAGTATCCACCCCTGGGTGAAGACCCTCAGGGGTTCTGCTTCCACAGACACACCAAGATTCCCAGATCCATCTCTCTGTGCCCCCTGCAAAGCCTGACCCTCAGAATATCCCAGGATGCTTAGTTGCCTCCGGGCTCGACTAGTCCTCATCGAGCAGAGGGCCAGGAGGAATTACAGAGATTGATTGATTAAGCAAAGGTTTCAGTTTCGATCTTGAACCTGATGTCATTTCCTGTTTAAAGGACAAATCAAAAGCCCTTCCATGCTCTCAGATGGTGATTTATGGTCAAGGGTCAGGGGTCAGGGGTCAGCTGGGTCAAAGGTCAAACCGGAGGTCATACAGCCCTCTGTCTGAAGAGAATATCTCAGCAACCTGGATCTAGCACTTTCACCAAAAACCTTCAGTTTTTCCCAACAGACACTTACAGAGGTCAAGTTAGTGCAGATACAGTATGTGCGTGGAGCCTAACTGTACAGTTTGCAGGTCACTATGATAAAAAATAAAGAATTGCCCAGGGCGAAACGAAACGTCTAACTTGACTATTTGCCAGGCTCTGTCTCCCCACGCGTGACAGCAGAGTTTCGCGTGCTCATCGCTCGAATTCCCTCGCGTCTGGGCAATTGACGGTCCGACGCTTGTAATAGGGGCTTCCCGGTTCGAACCCGCAAGCTATGCCCCCACCCCCACCCGGGCTCCATCAGTCAGGATGCACCTCGGGCTGAGGTCCTGCCGGCCGGCAGACTGCCCGACAGCTGTCGGTGCCTCAGTTCACCGGACGTCCCGCGTCTGAGCCGGCCTACAGCTGGCGGTTTGCATCGCGAATCCTGAGCCCGTTTGCGCCCGCTGACTGTGGACGAGCTGCGAACAGACACGATTACGAGGACGACTGTTATTTCCTTACAGAAAGGCCAGTGTGGAGAGAAGGGACCGCATCGCTCTGGCCCGTCGCTGCCCCCTCCCGACCCCAGCGAACCGGACACTGAGCGACTGGACTCCAGGCGGTACCGGTCCCAGGTCCGCCTGGTTGTGGTTCGGACGGCGCCCTGGGTCAGAGACGCCCTTCACAGGACGGGTCGCACCGGAGAGGTCTGGATCTTGTCGTCGCGGCGCGGGCGATCCGGAGAGCGGGGACCGGGCGCCTCTCCGGGGCTCATGCCCCCCGGGTGGGTCGGGTGGGGGGCGGGGCGGGGTGGCGGCCGGGTCCGTGTCCTCCGAGGGCTCAGTCCTGAATTCCCGCCGCGGGAACGACAGGTAGACGGGGCGACAGGTGAAACCCAGATCCAGACTGTGTGCTGCTCAGGCAGAACGACAAGTATTCACGGCTCTTAGCCCCAGAGGCCCGGGCGGTCCGCCGTTATAATCCCTTGTGTTCCTCCTGGACAGCTCCGGACTGGGGTCTCCAGGGGCTGTTGTCCGGCCCCTCGGTGATGGATCTCTCCGCCACCCGCGCGCCCCCCGCCCCCCTTCCAGAAGCAGGTCCCCCGAGGCTGATCGCGAGCGCTGTCCGGGAGGCAGAGACGGGCAGAGGGACCGGAGAGAGAGGAGAGGGGAGGGGAGGGGGCGGGGGCGGGGAGATTCGGCTACTCCTGTCCCGGCGGCGCAGGGGTCAGCGCCGGCAGCGGTCGGGTCCCTGTTTCCGGGGCAGGGAAGGTCGGCGAGAGGACGGCGGCTCCGGGGTGGTCGGCTCTGCGGGCTCCGTGAGCAGCAGTCTGGGCTCGTTCATGGTGATGCCCGCCCGGGAGGCTGGGCAGGCGGGGGAGAGAGACCCGCAGCGACCGGCAGGCAGCATCTACAGCCCGAGCCGGTCCAGCTCAGAGGAGGAGGAGGAGCGCAGGAGGAGGAAGAGACGGGGCAGGAGGAGGGGTGGTGGTTATGGTGGGTGGGGGTGGGGGGGGGCAGGTCAGGCAGCCCCGCCGGCACGGGACGGTGACAGCGCGCGGGCAGCTCCGACCTCCCGCGGTCCCGCGCGCCGGGCTCCCGCGGCAGGCTGAACGGCGGTCCGCGCGCCGCTAGGAGAGGGAAGAGGCCAGCAGACGGGCGGATGACATCACCGGCAAAAATTCCCCTTGAAAAGGCAATCCGGGCTTCCAGGAGGAAAAAAAGTTCGCAGGAAAAGGAGCGCAGGCAGGCAGCTCAGCGCCTCGGAAGACGCCGCCGAAGATCGCGTTCCGGGCGGAGGTGCAGGACAAGAAGCATCCGCGCCCCGGTGACAGGGCGGCTGGCCGCACTGACAGATCGCGCCCCCGATTCCTCCCCGCGCCTCTGCCCCTGCACTTCCCGCAAACCGCACAGATCGCCGGCACCGCAAGGTGCGTGTTGTAATCGGCGGGCGAGTTTCAAGAGTCAAGTTTCTGTTTTGCCCTTCTTCCCACCCCCTGTTCTTTATTGCAGCCGAGGCTTTGTACCGAGATGGCTCTCGGGGAGAAAGCGAGCGCAGCGCCGGACCGATCCCTCTCTCCCTCTCTCTCTCTCTGTCTCTCTGCCCCGCTCTCCACACACACCGCCGGGGTGCAGGGCTATCCGACCGGCCGCTCTGACACTATTGTCACGGCAACTTGAACGATAGAGACGAGGCTGCGAGCACACATCCGACAGGAGCGAGGCAGGGGCGTAGAAACCGGGGCTCCCGCCTGCTCCCCGCTACTTCTCCTGGAGAGCTTTCCCAAAGAGCCGAGCACGGCGGTGCGATCAGTGGAGGAGCGCTGTGGTGAAGTCGGGTTACCCCGAGAGAGCCCTGGGCGTTCAGAGACAGAGAGAGAGAGAGGAGGAGGAGGAGGAGGTGGAGGGGGCGGGCAGCGCTCGGCACAAAATCCCACCCCCCCTCCTCCCCAGTTCAGACTTGAAAGCAGTCTGCAGAGCGCAGCGCACACCGTCCACCGAGCCGCGCCGGGAGGGAGAGAGAGAGAGAAAGAGAGAAAGAGAGAAAATTACGACTCGCACCAGTTCAGTATGAAACAGGAAGCGCTCGCTGTAATTACGACTTTGAAAGTGCTGCGCCGCGATCTCCCGTTTCAAGGCAGGACTTGGAAAGAACAGAAAAAACAGTCAGAGGAATGAGAGGGCGTGAGGCAGGTATGTAAGCAGGGATCCAAAACGAATATTTCCCGCGGCCGATCAGACGCGCCGCCCTGGGACCGACCCGCCGGACCGCAGCTCGGCGCGCCCCCCACCAGCGCCTGAGCCGCAGACTCCCGGGCCGGCCAGCTCGCCTGCCCCGCTCTCACAGCCCGGCAGAGAGGAGGGGGGGCTGGTCGGCGCGGCACTGCCGGCTCTCCGCGCCAGGCTGGTGCCCCAGGACAGTCAGGTCCTGCCGGTCTCCCACTGGGGCTCTGTGCGGGCTGGGAGCAGGGAAGAGAGTGGATCTGCAGGCCGGCTCCTCAGCCCTCCTCTGTCGCTCACCTGGGGATCTGTGTCATGTTCTGGGGTGTCGGTCAGCTGACATGCTGTAACTGGACTCACTGGTACCCTGACTGACTCCCCGACTCTGTCTCCTTGACTCCAACTCTCTGACAGCCTGACAGGCACACTAACACCCTGACTGACTGACA